AGACATGACACCCACAAGGGGTTCTCGAGATTCTTGCAAACTACTTCAAAAACAAAACACAAGAGATCCCTGAGATTCTTTCAACTACTTCAAAAACAGAACAAAAGGAGTCCCCGAGATTCTTCCAAATTACTTCAGAAACAATACCCACAAGGGGTCCCCGAGATTCCTTCAAACTACTTCAAACACAAAACACAAAAGGGACCTCAAGATTTTTTCAGATTACTGCAGATAGGAGTCCCCGAGATTCTTTCAAACTACTTCAAAAGCAAAACAAGAGGAGTCCCCGAGATTCTTTCAAGTTACTTCAAAAACAAAACCCAGAGGAGACCCCCGAGATTCTCTTAAGTTACTTCAGAAACAAGATCTACAGAGAATCCCCAAGATTCTTTCAAATTACTTCAAAAACAGAACACAAAAGGGACCTCAAGATTCTTTCAAACTACTGCAGACATAAGACCTATAAGGGGTCCCCGAGATTCCTTCAAACTACTTCAAACACAAAAGGGACCTCAAGATTTTTTCAAATTACTGCAGACATAAGACCCACAAGGGGTCCTCGAGGTTCTTTCAAACTACTTCAAAAACAAAACACAAGGAATCCCCGAAATTCTTTCAACTACTTCAAAAACAGAACAAAAGGAGTCCCCGGAATTCTTCCAAATTACTTCAGAAACAATACCCACAAGGGGTCTCCAAGATTCCTTCAAACTACTTCAAAACTAAAACACAAAAGGGGCCTCAAGATTCTTTTAAATTACTGCAGACATAAAACCCACAAGGGGTCCCCGAGATTATTTCAAACTACTTCAAAAACAAAATTCATAAGAGGCCCCCCAGATTCTTCAAACTACTTCAAAAACAAAAGACAAGGGGGTCTCCGAGATTCTTTCAAATTACTTGAAAACAAAACACAAGGGGTCCCCGAGATTCTTTAAAAATTACTTCAAAACAAAAACCACAGGAGGCTCTCGAGATTCTTTCAAACCACTTCAAAAACAAAACACAAAGGAACCCCAAGATTCTTTCAAAGTACATCAAAAACAAAACACAGAGGGACTCAAGATTCGTTAATTTGAATAGGATTGATATCTGCATATTTGAGATCGAGTTCCACCATTTTTCGCTGAATATGAGATATATGCTAAATTTGACGACCAGGGTTCCTGCGAAATATTTTAAGTTAAAAGAGGGTGAATTCAAAGCTATTTTTTTTTTAATACTTAAGATCTGAGCAGTATGATCTAGAAAATAGAGCAGCAGGCGAGGTTTTTCGTCAAATAAGTCCAAAATTATTTGAAAAATTTTCTGAAAATCTTAACAAAGTTGCTACCACCATGTTTTGTGGCAATATTTACCAGATTTTTAAAAACACTTTTTGGCCGGATTATTTACATATGTCATTCATTCATGAATCATAACGACCTCAAACCTGACCCCTGTGATACACCAACTCTTATTTTAGAAAAATGTGAAATTTTCGGTTCAAGTTTTATATACTTTTTTTCTCTCCAAATTACTTCAAAAACATGACAAAGAATCCCTGAGATTCTTTGAAACTATGTACTTCAAAAACAAAACAGAAAGGGATCCCAAGATTGTTTCAAATTACTTCAGAAACAAGATCCCCGAATTCTTTGAAACTACTTCAAAAGCAAAACACAAGGAATCCCGCCATTTTTCAAATTACTTCAAAAATCAAACACAAGGGACCCTCGAGATTTTTCAAGCTATTTCAAAAACAAAACACAAGTAGTCCCCGAAATTCTTTCAAACTACTTCAAAAATCAGACACAAGCGGTCCCCGAGATTCTTTCAAACTGCTTCAAAAATAAAGCCCAAGGGGCCCTAAGATTGAAAGAATCTCGGGAGACTCATGTGGGTTTTGTTTTTGAAGTAATTTGAAATAATTTGAAAGAATCTCGGAAATCAAAAATATATATAACATTTAAAAAATCGATAAACTGAAACATCGAGAAATCAAAACATCAAGAAATCGAGAAGTCGAAAATTGAGAATTGAAACACCCTAAAATCAAAAAATTGAAAAACCGAAAAACCCCAAAATCGAAAAGCTAAAAATTTGAAAACCGAGAAATTGAGCAATGGAAACATCGAATCCTCGATAAACAGAAAAATCGAAAAATCTGAATCCTAGAAAAAATTGGAAAGAACTGAAAAATCTAAAATTTAAAAAATTAAAATATCTAAAAATTGAAAAATTCCCAAAATTGAAATGTTGAAAAATTAAGAAATCGAAAACTTGAAAAATCGAGAAATCTAGAAATCAAAAAGGCGACAAATTTTAAAAATCGAAAAACTGAAATGTCAAGAAATCGAATCAAAAAATCATCAAACTGAAATATAGAAAAATGTAGAACAGAAGTATCGAAGAATTGAAGAATCGAAACTTTGAAAAATTGAAAAACTTAAACATCGAGAAGTCGAAAAAAGAGAGTCGAAACTACCCAAAATCAAAAAATTGGGAAATCGAAAAATCCAAATTCGAAAAGTCGGAAGATCGAGCACTCAAAACAGCAAGAAATTGAAAAATTAAACTATCGAAAAATTGAGGAATCCAGGAATTCCCAAAAATGAAGAAATCGAAAAGTCGACAAGTTTTAAAAATCGAAGAAATACTTTTAAAAACAAGAAAAAATGTCCCCGAGATTCTTTCAAATTACTTCAAAAATAGAACACATGGGATCCTCGAGATTTTTCAAGCTATTTCAAAAACAAAATCAGAAGGGGTTCTCGAGATTCTTTCAAATTACTTCGAAAACAAGATTCACATAGAGTCTCTGGGATTTTTTTAAACTACTTCATAAACAAGCACAAGGAGTCCTCGAAATTCTAACTACTTCAAAAACCAGACTTAAGTGGTTCCCGGGATTTTTTCAAACTTGTTCAAAAACAAAACACAAGTGGTCCCCGAGATTCTTTCAAACTACTTCAAAAATAAAAACAAGGGGTCCCCAAGATTGAAAGAATCTCGGGAGCCTCATGTGAGTTTTGTTTTTGAAGTAATTTGAAATAATTTGAAAGAATCTCGAAAATCAAAAATATAACATTTAAAAAATCGATAAATTGAAACATCGAGAAGTCGAAAAATTGAGAATTGGAACACCCCAAAATCAAAAAATTGAGGAACCGAAACACCCCAAAATCGAAAAGTTAAAAATTCAAAAACAGAAGTTGATCAATGGAAACTCGATAAATAGAAAAATCGAAAAATCTAAATCCTAGAAAAAATGGAAAGAAGTGAAAAATTTAAAATATCTAAAAATTGAAAATTTCCCAAAATTGAAATGTTGAAAAATTAAGAAATCGGAAACTTGAAAAATCGAGAAATCTAGAAATCGAAAAGGCGACAAATTTTAAAAATCGAAGAACCGAGATGTCAAGAAATCGAATCAAAAAATCATCAAACTGAAATACAGAAAAATGTAGAACAGAAGTATCTAAGAATTGAAAAATCGAGAATTTGAAAAACCAAAAAATGAGGAGATCAAAAAATCCAAAATTTAAAAAATCGAAACATTGAAAAATTGAAAAACTGAAACATCGAAAAGTCGGAAGATCGAGCACTCAAAACAGCAAGAAATTGAAAAATTAAACTATCGAAAAATTGAAGAATCCAGGAATTCCCAAAAATGAGATGTTGAAAAGTGAAGAAATCGAAAAGTCGACAAATTTTGAAAATCGAAGAAGTACTTTTAAAAACAAGACAAAATGTCCCCGAGATTCTTTCAAATTACTTCAAAAATAAAATTAGGAGTTCCCGAGATTTTCTCAAATTACTTCGAAAACAATGTGAATACATGGGGTCTTCGGGATTCTTTTAAACCACTTCATAAACAAACACGAGGAGTCCTCGAAATTCTAACTACTTCAAAAATCAGACACAAGGGGTCCCCAAGATTGAAAGAATCTGCGGAGGCTTACGTGAGTTTTGTTTTTGAAGTAGTTTGAAAGAATCTTGGGGCGCTTTTGTGTTTTGTTTTTGAAGTAGTTTAAAAGAATCTTGGGGTCCCTTTATGTCTTGTTTTTGAAGCGGTCCGCGAACTGCTTCAAAAACAACACAGAAACGTCTCCAATTACTTCAAAGACCAGACATCACTCAAAGACATGACATCACCACCATTCGAAATTTTATATAAATACTCCTAAATAAAGTAAAATGTTAGTCTTAATTTTTCGCGTCTCGGCCGCCCCTGGTGTTCAAGTTCAAGATCAGCCGAAAAAGTATTTTCAAGCGTGGACCGACAAAACACGCAAATTAAACAAGATTTTCGAGCTCTACGTAAGTCAATTTCTTTCAATGTCACTCCGTTTAATAAATCCGAGTCTTGATTCAGCGTTTATCAATTACATCTTTGTATGACGACCACGCTAAACGCTACACTATTTGGTTATTAAGTCGATGTTTGATGTTATTTATGATGAAGCGCTGTCTCTAAAAATCCAAGGACAAGTGATGGATTTTGTCGGGTTGTCAGTTCAGGTAGCAGCATGAAATTACATAGTATCCAGCTGTCCAAATTATTGGTGACACGCAACAACCAAAGAACAATGGCATTTTTACGTTGTTTATGCATAGATGGTTGTGATAAATTCATGAGTAAATATTATTCAGAGGGTAGCGTTTTTTACTAGGTACTTTACGTGGACCAGGTGTAGCGCAAACGTATTTTTGGGGGTCATGAATTTTTCATTCGGGTTTCCGCTTTTGTATAACGATTTTTGTACGAAACGTCATTGAATATGAAACCGTTTTCGAAAAGTGAAAACATCCTCCAGCGGTAGCCAAAATTCAGGTCTAACCAGTTCGCACCTCCGCTGTCCTTGAGTGTCTTCTTTTAGTAATTTGCACAAATCACGTAGACCGTCAAAGCGATGATTCAGCACAAGATGATTTTAATTAAAATCACGCGTCGGCGAGCTGCCGCTCCATCCGGCACACAAATAAAACCCATGCCTAATGTGTGTTTTCTGTCGAAGGCCGCGAGGACCTCTCCCCCAGCAGCCTCAACGGTTACAGCGCCGACAGCTGCGACTCGAAGAAGAAAAAGGGCCCCACGCCCCGTCAGCAGGAGGAACTGTGCCTCGTGTGCGGCGACCGCGCCTCGGGCTACCACTACAACGCCCTCACGTGCGAAGGATGCAAGGGCTTCTTCAGACGCAGCATAACGAAGAACGCGGTTTACCAATGCAAGTACGGCAACAACTGCGAGATAGACATGTACATGCGGCGAAAGTGCCAGGAGTGCCGGTTGAAAAAGTGCCTCAGCGTCGGGATGAGGCCCGAATGTGTGGTGCCGGAAGTGCAGTGCGCCGTCAAGAGGAAAGAGAAAAAGGCGCAGAAGGAGAAGGACAAGCCGAACAGCACGACGAACGGCTCGCCGGACATCGTCAAAGTCGAACCAGAAGTAAGTAATTGTCGATCGGCAAGAGATCTTCAATTTCTCCAATGTGATTTCTTCGGTTCGCAGTTGTCTGATTCGCCAAAGACATTGTGTAACGGAAACAAAGGCATCTCGCCGGAGCAAGAAGAGCTCATACACCGGCTGGTGTACTTCCAAAATGAATACGAACACCCCTCCGACGAGGATGTCAAGAGGATCATTGTAAGTTGACTGATCACCACATATTTCGCTCTTTACTAATAACAACTTTCTTGGTTACAGAACCAGCCGATCGAAGGCGAAGATCAGAGCGACATTCGGTTTAGGCATATCACCGAAATCACCATCTTGACGGTGCAGCTGATAGTGGAGTTTGCGAAGAGGCTACCAGGCTTCGATAAACTCCTCAGGGAAGACCAAATTGCTCTCTTGAAGGTGAGATCATCACCCGAAGACACGATTTTTCCAAATTTTTACCCGACTTTTCCGTTGTTTGCAGGCATGTTCCAGCGAAGTCATGATGTTCAGGATGGCGCGCCGTTACGATGTGGAGACGGATTCGATCCTGTTCGTCAACAACCAGCCCTACTCCAGACAAAGCTACAATTTGGCCGGCATGGGGGAAACCATTGAAGATCTCTTGCATTTTTGCAGAACTATGTTTTCGATGAAGGTGGATAATGCGGAGTACGCGTTGTTGACAGCTATCGTCATTTTCTCAGGTAAGAACCGGGTTGGCGGCGATTTTTTGCGAGTGGAACTGGCCTAGTTACTTGAAGGAAAATCAATCGGTGGCTATTTGCATAATTGCGTTATTCCGCTTACCGGTAATTCGAGTTCTACTAGTGGGGAATTTATTGTGCCGAGTTAGGGCTGGATGGGGGGTTAATAACGGGCTAATTCTCAAGAGGGTCTGTGAGAATTTCTGTCATTTCACTCAAATTTTGACGTTCTTATTGGTCTTTGAAATTCTGCACTTGGTAAATATTTCTATGGTATTTTAGACCTAAATCTCTTTGTTAGAACATCAAAAAGTGCTAAAAATCGGGAGGTCCAGAAGAAATGGATGTTTTGGGAGCTATAAAACTGCTGTACAGATTAGTATGAAATGGAGACGTCTTGGAAATTCAAGGTTTTTGGAAAATGATAAGATTCAAAAGTAAACTTAATTTTTTTTAAACCGCCAGACGTCTGGAGAGATATCACAGGATGAAAAAATTGGTCCAAGGTAATCTCGACAGGAACAGAAAAATCAAAAAGTCGAAATATCGAGTATTCAAAACATCAAAAAATTAAAAAATTACCAAAATTGAAATTTGACAAAATAAGAAATCGAATAAAAAAAAAATCGTCAAATTGAAATATCGAAAAATGAAAAATTTGAAAAATTGGAAAACAGAACTATCGAAGAACTGAAAAATCGAAAAATTGAAAAATGAAATGATGGAAAAGTGGAAAATTTAAATATTGTAAAAAGGAAGAATCGAGAAATTGAAAAATCGAAAAATTGAACGATCGAAAGAAATCGAGAAGTCGAAAAAGCGAGAATCGAAAAGTTAAAAATTCAAAAACAGAAAAATGGAGCAATAAAAACATCGAATTCTGGATAAATAAGTCCAAAAATCGAAAGATTCAAAAATCGAAACATTAAAAAACTGAATAATCTGAAACTTAAAAATTCGAAAATTGAAAGTCGGAAGATTGAGCACTCAAAACATCCAAAAATTGAAAAATTCCCAAAATTGAAGTGTAAAAAAATTAAGAAATCGAGAAATCTAAGAATCGAAAAGTCGACGAATTTTAAAAATCGAAAAACTGAAATGTCAAGAATTCGAATCAAAAAATCGTCAAATTGAAATATAGAAAAATGTAGAATCAAAAATTTAAAAATTTGAAAAATGAAGGATCTATCGAAGAATTGAAGAATCGAGAAATAGAAAAACCAAAAAAATTAGATCAAAAAATCCAAAATTTAAAAAATCGTAACATTAAAAAATTGAAAAACTAAAACATCGAAAAGGTCGAGAAATCGAGAAGTCGAAAAATCGAAATTCGAAAAAAGCATCAAAAAATTGAAAAATTAAAATATCGAAAAATTGAAGAATCCAGAAATTGAAAAATTCCCAAAATTGAAGTGTAAAAAAATTAAGAAATCGAGAAATCTAAGAATCGAAAAGTCGACAAATTTTAAAAATCGAAAACCTGAAATGTCAAGAATTCGAATAAAAAAATCGTCAAATTGAAATATAGAAAAATGTAGAATCAAAAATTTAAAAATTTGAAAAATGAAGTACCTATCGAAGAATTGAAAACTCGAAAAAAGTAAAATTTAAAAAATTAAAAAATGGAAAAATTGAAGAATCGAGAAATAGAAAAACCAAAAAAATTAGATCAAAAAAGTCCAAAATTTAAAAAATCATAACATTAAAAAATTGAAAAACCAAAACATCGAAAAGGTCGAGAAATCGAGAAGTCGAAAAATCGAAATTCGAAAAAAACATCAAAAAATTGAAAAATTAAAATATCGAAAAATTGAAGAATCCAGAAATTGAAAAATTCCCAAAATGTAATGTATGAAGTAATGGAAAAGTGGAAAATTCAAAAAAATTAAATATTGTAAAATTGAAGAATCGAGAAATTGAACAATCGAAAGAAATCGAGAAGTCGAAAAAGCGAGAATCGAAAAGTTAAAAATTCAAAAACAGAAAAATTGAGCAATAAAAACATCGAATTCTGGATAAATAAGTCCAAAAATCGAAAGATTCAGAAATCGAAACATTAAAAATCTGAAAAATCTGAAACTTAAAAATTCGAAAAATTGAAATTCGAAAACTCGGAAGATCGATCACTCAAAACATAAAAAAATTGAAAAATTCTCAAAATTGAAGTGTAAAAAAATTAAGAAATCCAGAAATCTAAGAATCGAAAAGTCGACAAATTTTAAAAATCGTCAAATTGAAATATAGAAAAATGTAGAACCAAAAATTTAAAAATTGGCAAACAGAAGTATCGAAGAACTGAAAAATCGAAAAATCTAAAATGTAAAAAATTGAGAAACTGATATGACGAAAAATTGGGAAATCGAAAAATTGAAAAATGAAATAATGGAAAAGTGAAAAATTCAAAAAAAGGAAAAATAAAAAAATCTCAACGTCGGAAAATTGAAAAATTTAAATATTGTAAAATTGAAGAATCGAGAAATTGAAAAATCGAAAAATTGAACAATCGAAAGAAATCGAGAAGTCGAAAAAGCGAGAATCGAAAAGTTAAAAATTCAAAAACAGAAAAATTGAGCAATAAAAACATCGAATTCAGGATAAATAAGTCCAAAAATCGAAAGATTCAGAAATCGAAACATTAAAAATCTGAAACTTACAAATTCGAAAAATTGAAATTCGAAAAGTCGGAAGATCGAGCACTCAAAACATCAAAAAATTGAAAAATTCCCAAAATCGAAGTGTAAAAAAATTAAGAAATAGAGAAATCTAAGAATCGAAAAGTCGACAAATTTTAAAAATCGAAAAACTGAAATGTCAAGAATTTGAATTAAAAAATCGTCAAATTGAAATATAGAAAAATGTAGAATCAAAAATTTAAAAATTTGAAACATGAAGTATCTATCGAAGAATTGAAAACTCGAAAAAACTAAAATTTAAAAAATTAGAAAATCGAAAAATTGAAGAATCGAGAAATAGAAAAACCAAAAAAATTAGATCAAAAAATCCAAAATTTAAAAAATCGTAAAATTAAAAAATTGAAAAACTAAAACATCGAAAAGGTCGAGAAATCGAAAAATCGAAATTCGAAAAAAACATCAAAAAATTGAAAAATTAAAATATCGAAAAATTGAAGAATCCAGAAATTGAAAAATTCCCAAAATTGAAGTGTAAAAAAAATAAGAAATCGAGAAATCTAAGAATCGAAAAGTCGACAAATTTTAAAAATCGAAAAACTGAAATGTCAAGAATTCGAATCAAAAATCGTCAAACTGAAATATACAAAAATGTAGAATCAAAAATTTATAAATTTGAAAAATGAAGTATCTATCGAAGAATTGAAAACTCTAAAAAACTAAAATTTAAAAAATTAAAATATCGAAAAATTGAAGAATCGAGAAATAGAAAAACCAAAAAAATTAGATCAAAAAATCCAAAATTTAAAAAATCGTAACATTAAAAAATTGAAAAACTAAAACATGGAAAAGTTCGCGAAATCGAGAAGTCGAAATATCGAAATTCGAAAAAAACATCAAAAAATTGAAAAATTAAAATATCGAAAAATTGAAGAATCCAGAAATTGAAAAATTCCCAAAATTGAAGTGTAAAAAAAATAAGAAATCGAGATATCTAAGAATCCAAAAGTCGACAAATTTTAAAAATCGAAAAACTGAAATGTCAAGAATTCGAATCAAAAAATCGTTAAATTGAAATATACAAAAATGTAGAATCAAAAATTTAAAAATTTGAAAAATGAAGTATCTATCGAAGAATTGAAGAATCGAGAAATAGAAAAACCAAAAAAATTAGATCAAAAAATCCAAAATTTAAAAAATCGTAACATTAAAAAATTGAAAAACCAAAACATCGAAAAGGTTGAGAAATCGAGAAGTCGCAAAATCGAAATTCGAAAAAAACATCAAAAAATTGAAGAATCCAGAAATTGAAAAATTCCCAAAATTGAAGTGTAAAAAAAATTAAGAAATCGAGAAATCTAAGAATCCAAAAGTAGACAAATTTTAAAAATCGAAAAACTGAAATGTCAAGAATTCGAATAAAAAAATCGTCAAATTGAAATATAGAAAAATGTAGAATCAAAAATGTAAAAATTTGAAAAATGAAGTACCTATCGAAGAATTGAAAACTCGAAAAAACTAAAATTTAAAAAATTAAAATATCGAAAAATTGAAGAATCGAGAAATAGAAAAACCAAAAAAATTAGATCAAAAAAGTCCAAAATTTAAAAAATCGTAACATTAAAAAATTGAAAAACTAAAACATCGAAAAGGTCGAGAACTCGAGAAGTCGAAAAATTGAAGAATCCAAAAATTGAAAAATTCCCAAAATTGAAATGTAAAAAAATTAAGAAATCGAGAAATCTAAGAATCGAAAAGTCGACAAATTTTAAAATTCGAAAAACTGAAATATGTCAAGATTTCGAATCAAAAAATCGTCAAATTGAAATATAGAAAAATGTAGAATCAAAAATTTAAAAATTTGAAAAATGAAGTACCTATCGAAGAATTGAAAACTCGAAAAAACTAAAATTTAAAAAATTAAAATATCGAAAAATTGAAGAATCGAGAAATAGAAAAACCAAAAAAATTAGATCAAAAAAGCCCAAAATTTAAAAAATCGTAACATTAAAAAAATTGAAAAACTAAAACATCGGAAAGGTCGAGAAATCGAGAAGTCGAAAAATTGAAATTCGAAAAATCGGAAGATCGAGCACTCAAAACATCAAAAAATTGAAAAATTGAAGAATCCAGAAAATGAAAAATTCCCAAAATTGAAATGTTGAAGAATTAACATATCGAAAATCTGCAAAGTCACCAAATCAAAAAATCTTAAAGTCGACACATTTTAAAAATTGAAGAACTGAGAGGTCAAGAAATCGAATCAAAAAATCGTCAAATCGAAATATCGAAAAATCAAAAATTTAAAAATTCGAAAAATCGAAAAATAGGTATATCGAAGAACTGAAAAATAAAAAAATCCAAAGTTAAAATATTGAAAAATCGAGAAACTGAAATAACGAAAAATTGAAAAATGGTATAATCAAAGTGAAAAAGTCGAAAAAAGAAGAACAACAAAAATCGCAACATTAAAAAATTGAAAAACTGAAACATCGAAAAGTCGAGAAATCGAAAAATGAGAATTGAAACACCCCAAAATTAAAAAACTGAGAAATCGAAACATCCCAAAATCGAAAGATCGAAATTCGAAAAGTCGGAAGATCGAGCACTCAAAACTCCAAAAAATTTAAATGTTGAAAAATGAAGAAATTGAAAACCTGAGAACTCTAAAAATCCAAAAATTGCCGACAAATTTTTTAAATCGAAGATCTGAGATGTCAACAAATAGAATAAAAAAATCGTCAAATTGAAATACCGAAAAACGAAAAATCGAAAAGTCGTAAAATTTAAAAAATTGAAAAATTGGCAAATCGAAAAAAAAGAAGCAAAAAAATCGCAACATCGAAAAATTGAAAACTGAAATGACAAAACAACAAGAGAAGTCGAAAAATTAAGAATCGAAATACCCCAAAATCAAAAAATTGAGAAAATTGAGACTCGCCAAAATCCAAAAGTTAAAAATTCAAAAACAGAAATTGAACAATGGAAACATCGAATTCTCGATAAATAGAAAAATGGAAAAATCGAAAAATCTAAAACCCAGAAGTCGAAAAATTAAAAAAATCGGCAAATTATGCAATAGAATCAAGAAAAATGCAAACGCAAAACATCAAAAAACTGAAAAATCAAAAATTTAAAAATTCGAAAAATTGAAGAATAGAAATACCAAGAACTGAGAAATCGAGAAATCGAAAAATAAAAAAATTAAAAACTGAAAAATTCAGACATCGAAAAATTGAAAAATCGAGAAATCCAAAAAAAATTGGAGAATACCCAAAACTGAAAAATTGAAAAATCAAAAACTTGAAAAATCGATAAATCGAAAATTCAAAAAAAAGAAAACTCGAATAATAATCGACAAATCAAAAAATTTTAAAATTGAAAAATTCAGACATTGAAAAATTGAAATTTAAAATTTAAAAATCGAAAAAGTAGAAAATTGAGATACCGAAATGTTGAAAAATTGAAAAAATCCAAAATTGAAATATTGAAAGGTTGAAACGTTGCGAAATTGAAAAGTTGAAAAGTCAAAAATCTGAAAAATTGAAAAACCGAAACGTAAAAAGTGGAAATTGGTAAAACTGAAACATCTGAAAATTGAGAAATCGAAAAATGAAGAACTCGAGACATCGAAAAGTTGAAAAATTGAAAAAACCGAAAACTGAAATATCGAAAAATTGAAGAATTGAAACATCAAAAACCTGAAAAATTGAAAAATCAAAACATAAAATGTCGAAATGGGAAAATCAAACCGAAAAGTCAAAAAAGTGGAAAATAGTAAAACTGAAACATCTGAAAATTGAGACATCGAAAAATCAAAAATTTTAAAAATTGAAAAATTCAGACATTGAAAAATTGAGAAATCGAAAAACGAAATCGAAAAGTTGAAAAATTGAAAAAACCGAAAACTGAAATATCGAAAAATCGAGGGATCGAAAATGAAAAATAGAAAAAAAAAATGAAAAATCGTAAAACTGAAACATCGGAAAATCGGGAAATCGAAAAGCTCAAAAATTGAAAAAACCCAAAACTGAAATATTGAAGAATTGAAAAACTGAAAAATAGAAAAGTCGAAAAATCAGGAAAAAGGGAAAATCGAAAAGTCTAAAAATTCAAAAATCGTAAAACTGAAACATCTGAAAATTGGGAAATCTAAAAATGAAAAGCTCGAGAAATCGAAAAATAAAAAATTTTTAAAATTGAAAAGTCGAAAAATCAAAAAATCGAAAATTGGAAAGATTGGAAAATCAAAACCTGAAAAATTGAGAAGTCGAAAAACCGAAACATTAAAAAGTCCAGAAATCAGGAAATGCGAAAATCGAAAAGTCAAACAACTGAAATATCGTAAACCCGAAATATTAGAAAATTGTAAAATTGAGATATCTAAAATCATTAAATGTAATTCAATTTTGATTTTTTTTTTCCAAAAATCTGAATGCCAAAGGTAAAAACTCGTACGTTATTTTATAAAAATTAAGTAACATTTATGGAGATAACCTTTTATTTTTTCGTACTTTAGAGGTCATAAAAACGTCGAGAGAACGATTAGAATTGTTACTTGTTTAAAATATTTCTTTGTTTAAAAAAAAAATTGAATTCGGGAGCTATCAATTATTAAAAGTTCAGAAATTTACATAAACTTGGGCGTAGGAACTTAAATGTACTTCGAAATTTTAACAGAATTTGTCAAGATTTTGCAGCTAAAAAAATTGTACAGTTTTTCAAAGCCACAATTTTTTTTGCTAATCTCAGTGTGAATGATCACACAAGCTTTTATCGACATCGTATTTAAAGTAAAATGGCGTTAATAAACTTTCAATAAACGCAAATCTAACGATCTAACTGTAAATATGTAATAAACGGCGAACTCTTGATACCAGTTTATATCACTTTGTACATAATAACGATCCTCTGATAAAAAAGAATCAACAAGAAACTTATCTTTGACAGGAGATTGTAAATAAAGCAGACCGGATGCTCGGAATTAATTATTCCTTTGAATATTGAAACCCATCGCGAATTGACAATGAAGCACTTTTAGCATCAGCCTGTCCTTAAAAAACAAAACCAGTGCTAGTAAAACTGCCATGTCGCAACGCGAAAAACAACAATTACGCCACGCACCACAACAAAAATTACGCGGTGTCATCAAAACGCGCTTGTGTAACGCCTTTGTGTTGTTTTAGAGCGCCCGGCGCTGATCGAGGGTTGGAAGGTGGAGAAGATCCAGGAGATCTACCTGGAGGCTCTGCGGGCGTACGTCGACAACCGAAGGCCGAAAGACAAGGCCGCCACGATATTCGCGAAGCTCCTGTCGGTGCTGACCGAGTTGCGGACTTTAGGCAACCAAAATTCGGAGATGTGCTTCTCGCTGAAGCTGAAAAACAAGAAGCTGCCGCCGTTCCTGGCGGAAATCTGGGACGTCGACCTGAAGACATAGTAGAGGCGACGTACCGACAGGTGGATGTTTGCTGCTGTTTGGAAAGCGAATAAATACGACTTAATAATGGCAGTGGATCGGCTCACCACCGAAAGTTGGCTGTGAAATATGTAAATTTTTTTATTATTATTATTATTATTAAACGAATGTTGGACGGCATCTAGAGAAAATGTTATTACTGAGCATAGATTTATTTAGATAATTACATAGTGAATATTACTCGATGAATCAAACTATTATGTAGATTTTATAAATGCCTGTATAAACTCTGCGACTTTTGTAAAACACTTTATCTTGGCAATTTGCTTACTTAATTGGTAAGACTGGACCGGACTGACTTAACAGAGGTGCCTTCACTTGAAATACGGATCATACGACTGAGGGCAGGTGCAAATTATGACAATTACAATGCCAGTAGAGTATAGGCCGACTGGAAAATGATCTGAAATTTTGAAAAAGTGCAATTTAATTTTATTTCAAATTTAAAAATGTAAAACGAAGCGTTAACGACTAAAGCACCAATCTACGGCGAAAGGAGGCAGAATTACTTCAAATCGTTATAACAAAGAAGCAGCCGTCCGCTATTAATTCAAAATAGTGAAACGTGAAGTGATTCGGATCTGACAGTGATCAGCGACGAGGACTCGTGCCATTTTATCCGGGCATCTGTCATACATACGTATAACCACACTATACAACAGACTATCCTGCCTTTACAAACTATTGATGTTTAACTCTTCAATGTGTAGTTGTAGCCTACTCATTTTTAAACTGTACTGTATAGTTTCTGCATTCGTGCTCTGCTGCTAGATGCGCTCGTAATTATACGACATATTTTTCATCAGTGTAGATAGAAAACATACATATTTTCATAAAAAAAAAAAAAACACAAGAGACAGATGTATTTTTGTTGGACACCGGGTTATTTCTTCGCGTGCGACATCTATATTGCCTTGCCACATATTCAAAGCACACGGTTTTTGTTCACGCCGGGAGTCAACCAACACCCAAATTGTTGATACTACTCGTCGTCGACGACGACACCCGAAAACCCAAGCACTTTCGAAAATCGTTCAGGTGCCATGAACGACCGTGAACCTGACACGCCCACCGCTCTTATTCTATTAATACGAGCTACTTCATCGACGGATTAAAAAAAGTTTGTTTAACGTGCTCGCTTTTATTGATTTTACGATCTTAAACAGATCGCCGGGAATATTTATTATTTTATTTTAAGCCCGGCGCGCATAAATCGCATTTATTCCGGGCTCTTACGGACAAGACAATGCCCCGTCGACAACCACAAAATATCCAATTGAGGTGATCTACAACGTATTTTATTTTAAATTTCCCGCGCTCGAGGTGACACAAAATGGATACGTCATTCGTTCGGAGCGACGAATAGCCTTGATAAAGCATTCGTTGTTACGGTTCAATGATTGTCAATCATAAACAATATTGATTTTTATTCATTATCATGATTAGAAATTCGTCAAGGACAAAGTTGTGTTACCTACCACGAACCAATCAATTTTCCTCGAGTGTGTCAATAAATAAACACTGAGGCTTTAATTCGTCATAAATTATACTAAATTGTGTTTATTGGTCGTTCATCGCACCAGGACCGACTCAAATTATAGTCAAAGACGTACTTTTTTTTTATAAAAATTTAAAACGCAGTGACGCTTTTCACGAAAGGTTAATGGCATCAGGTTTGACGTCAGAGGGTTGGATTCGATTGAAAGTCGCCACATTACTGTAATTTAGCCGTCAATGAAATTTGTTATTGGAACTTTGGCCAACTCTAAATCAAAATGTTTTGCGATTTTCGTAAGTCTCGAGGTGTCGATCGTGTAAGCGTGGTGTATTTGGAGTCCGTTAGGGGCAAAGTGCGTCGAGGTCCGCGAAGCGTACAAAAGTGAAAAAATTAATGGTACAAAGTTTTCAGGAAGTTCTCGTTATATTCTTACTTAACGGTTGGCTCCTTAGTTCTCACTGCCAACAGTGGCTCTGTCTCTCACTCATCCATCATGATATCACGTACGGTGTCTCACTCGATGTCTGCGTCCATGCAGTCTTTGTTTCGTCGTCGGATCAATTCAAATCAGGCACAAGTAATTTCTAATATGTATAACGTTGAGTCACTGCCAAATTTTTTGGACTGCCATTCACTCCAACTACGATAGATTTTTTCATATTCAATGTGTAGCGACTGCATGGATCCGTTACTGTGTACATGTCCGCGGCTAGCGCGGTTCGCGCCGCCGCCGCAAGGTGGCGCTCGCGTTGCGGCGGCTCGTGGTCTTGTAGCTTAAACTGTATTTCGATTTTGTTTGATTCAGTGTGTTGTTACATGACAAGTAGCATGGGAACACGGACCGGTGTGATTCTAGCTAGCAGATTAATTTGGACGACTCCGTCATCTCTCGGTTCGTAGCGAAGATTCATTAATTAGGAGAACTTAAGTATGTATGATAATTGTAAATAAACTGGTTTGAAATCAGGTTTCGAGATAAGTTGCGTCTTTTGTGTTGTTTCACTTCTTTTGTCCGAGCAGGACGCAAAGAAACTCGACCGTGCCTGCTTGCACACAGAAGAGTCCATTCCTACTACGAGTGAACTATATAATATTTAGACTTATTGAAACGTGCAATATGTACAAATTTTACTAATTTACTTTTTTTATATATCATTAATTAAGTACTGTATATCGAGATGATTACTATTAATAAAATACGTGTTACTTTTATACTGAGCATACTGAGTGGCAGTATTATACGTTTAAAACGGCAACCGTTCTGACGAATTGCCCAATTTTGTCAGTTAGGTTGAAGCAACCCCGAAAATTAAAAACGGTAGTTTGCTCGAAACAGCCATGTTCGTGCGGTGGCGCCGATCGACCACTCGATTCGTGGGCTAACGAATTTGAAGATTTTGAAGTTACCTTTCATTTTCATTCGATTTGGGACGATTCGAGTGCCCGGTCGTCTGCCACCGCTCCTGTTTTATTACTATTGAATTGACGAGTTATATTTAATATTTAATGTACAGATGACTATTTGTTGTTTTCGTTTCCTCTCATGACTGCTTCGAGCGTGGATGCCTTAAATCACAGTTGACCTGTAAATCGAGTGTTGTTCGAACAGTTCGATGAATATATTTTGTGCAGTAAACATTAAATTACTAGATAGTTTGAGTTTTATTTTTTACCCGATTTTAACACCTTCCTTTCGACGACAACACAAAAATCTACACCAATCCCGACTCGGAAATGTCGATGAAATATGGAATATGCAAGGATCTGATGAACCCCTACTTTGTTTTTTTTTTGTAGGTTGTAATTTTAAATAATGGGAATTTTAATTAAAAAGGCCTTCAGACTATAATAACGATGTTCATGATCTAATTAACCTCGGAATAAGTTAAATAATTCGTCAATGAACTTGCTCAGAAAGAAAAATCAGTTTTTAAGAAGTGAGTGACGTTTTTTTATAAACTGGAGACTCTGGTTAATCTTCATAAGTCCGTAGAATTAAATTTTATAACTTGTGTTTAAGTACTATTTGTTTACACACCGTTTTATTCTTCAATATTACCCTTTTCACGCTAAAGAAAGCTCGTTAACCTTGTAGTTAGTTAACGCGTAGATATTTACAGTGTCGGATTGAGGGCATGGGGGCCACCGGGAAATTGTTTTTTTTTTTTTTTTTAATTTATATATTTAAAGCAGGTAACTAGCTGGAAAAATATAGACAATTTCAATTTTTCAGTAAATGCGTAACTTCGACTGTTTATGTTTATTCTTCGACCGAATTCGATTAGTAGCACAAACATCAGCGATTAAAAGAAAAGAAAATTTTGTTGATTTTGTGTCCTCAACGCATAGGAAAGGACTGATTTGTTAATTCATACTCAATTTTTTTCCCAAAAACACTCATAAATTTGAAAAAGTGTAAGATGAAGTGTTTTTTTTTTTGTTTTTATAAAAATCTCAAGGTCAGCGGTTTCTATAATACGGATCCGCTGAAATCATGGTCAAAATCTTTAGAAGTCCACAACTTTTAAGAAAATAACGTTAAAAATGCGGCGAGATGTTAAAAAAATGCATAAAAAAAATTTCACGACAATTGACATATTTTATTTTATAAAAAACTGTAACTTCAATGTCAAAATTGGCCTATTTGCTTAAAACATGATAAAGTACCTTAAAATAGATGAAAAACAGGTAAAAAAGCTTAAATAGATGAAAAAAAAATGAGGGGTGAAGCTTAGCATACATATTTCAGTTGGCGATTTTGGAAAAACGGTAGCAATTTCCGAAGAAACGAAGCCGAAAATGACTTCTCTAATTTTCGGAAATTGTCAGAAGTGCCAAAACCAGTCTTATCTTATCAATACTAGCCCCGCCCACCCACCCACTATTTTTTTAGAGGATATGACATTGCCAAAATCAGTCTGATCACAGCAAGTACTAGCCCCACCCACCCACCCCTCTTCTCATTCTCACGACTAATTTTATTTCTGTTCAGTAGAAGATCATTCATTTCATTCAAATCAGATGAAACCAATCACTGAAAAGGAGACAGGGTGGGTGGGCGGGGCTAATAATGTTCCTTTGTTGAGTGGGAGTGGAACTTAATAATAGAATCTACGATCCGAAAATGTGAAAAAGCGCTAATCTTTAAAATAGCTGTATTTCAATTGGCGATTTTCGAAAAACTGTAGGAATTTTCAAAGAAATGAAAACGAAAATGACTTCTGGATATCGAAATGTACAAGAGAATGTCTTCACTAATTTTCGGAAATAGTTGAAAAATGATGGAAAATGTCAAAAGTGCCAAAATCAGTCTCATCTTATCAATATTAGCCCCGCCCGCCTACCCTCTGTTTTCTTTGAGGATATGTCATTTGCCAAAATCAGTCTTATCTTAGCAAGTACTAGCCCCACCCACCCACCCACCCCTCTTCTCATTCTAACGACTAATTTTATTTCTGTTCCGTATAAGATCATTAATTTCATCAAGATCAGATGAAATCGATCACTGAAAAGGAGACCGGGTGGGTGGGCGGGGCTAATTATTTTATTCTGTCGAGCGGGAGTAGAAATTAATAATAGAATCTAAGATGTGAAAAAAGTAAAAAAAAGTAATAATCTTTCAAATAGCTGTATTTTAATTGGCAATTTTCGAAAAACGCTAGGAGTCTTCGAAAGAACGAAGCCAGAAATGACTTGTGGATATCGAAATCTACAAGAAAATGTCTTCAACTAATTTTCGGAAATGGTTGAAAAATGGTGGAAAATGTCAAAAGTGCCAAAATTAGTCTTATCTTATCAATATTAGCCCCGCCCACCCACCCTCTGTTTTCTTGGAAGGTATATCATTTGCCAAAATCAGTCTTATCTTATCAAGTACTAGCCCCGCCCACCCGCCCTCTTCTCATTCTAACGACTAATTTTATTTCTCTTTAGTATAAGATCATTCATTTCATTCAAATCAGATGAAATCATTCACTGAAAAGGAGGCAGGGTGGGTGGGCGGGGCTAATTATATTAGTACTTGCTCTTTCTGTTTTTCGAATTTTTAATTGCTTTCTCGGTTTCTCAATTTCTCGATCTTTCCATTATTCGACCTCTCCATTTTTTAAATTTTCAATTTTTCCATTTACGGATTTTTCAATTTTTAATTTTTCCTTTGGACTATTTCAATTTTCAATTCTTCGACATTTCAGCATTAGGATTTTTCAATTTCGATTTTTTAAATGTTGCATTATTCGCTTTCTCGTTTTCTTCGTTGATTTTTCAATTTTTCGATTTCTTGAATTTTCCAGTCTTTCGATTTTACAATTTTTACATTACTAGCCCCGCCCACCCACCCTTTGTTTTCTTAGAGGATATGTCATTTGCCAAAATCATTAATTTCATTCAAATCAGATGAAACCAATCACAGAAAAGGAAACAGGGTGGGTGGGCGGGGCTAATAATGTTCCTCTATCGAGTGGGAGTGGAAATTAATAATAGAATCTACGATGTGAAAAATGTAAAAAATCGTTAATCTTTAAAATAGCTGTATTTCAGTTGGCGATTTTCGAAAAACTGTAGGAATTTTCAAAGAAATAAAAACGAAAATGACTTCTGGATATCGAAATGTACAAGAGAATGTCTTCACTAATTTTCGGAAATAGTTGAAAAATGGTGGAAAATGTCAAAAGTGCCAAAGTCAGTCTTATCTTATCAATACTAGCCCCGCCCACCCACCCTCTATTTTTTTAGAGGATATGATATTTGCCGAAATCAGTCTTATCTTAGCAAGTACTAGACCCGCCCGCCCACCCCTGTCTTCTCATTCTAACGACTATTTTTAATTCTGTTCCGTATAAGATCATTCATTTCATTCAGATCAGATGAAATCAATTCGTGAAAATGAGACAGGGTGGCTGGGCGGGGCTAATTATTATCTTCTGTCGAATGGGAGTGGAAATTAATAATAGAATCTAGGATGTAAAAAAGTAAAAAAACCGCTAATCTTTAAAATATGTGTATTTCAATTGACGATTTTCGAAAAACTGTAGGAATTTTCGAAGAAACGCAGCCGAAAATGACTTCTGGATATCGAAATGTACAAGAAAATGTCTTCAACTAATTTTCGGAAATGGTTGAAAAATGGTGCAAAATGTCAAAAGTGCCAAAATCAGTCTTATCTTATTAAGTACTAGCCCCGCCCACCCGCCCTCGTCTTCTCATTCTAACGACTAGTTTTATTTCTGTTCAGTATAAGATCATTCATTTCATTCAGATCAGATGAAATCGATCACTGAAAAAAAGACAGGGTGGGTGGGCGGGGCTAATTATATTAGTACTTGCTATTTCTGTTTTTGGAATTTTTAGTTGCTTTCTCGGTTTCTCAATTTCTCGATCTTTCCATTATTCGACCTCACCATTTTTAAAATTTTCAATTTTCGATTTACGGATTTTTCAATTTTTAATTTTTCCTTTGGACTATTTTAATTTTCAATTCCTCGACATTTCAGTTTTAAGATTTTTCAATTCATCTATTTTTCATTTTTTCGATCCTCCAATTAGGTATTTGATTTTTCAATTTGGATTTTTTAAATGTTGTGTTATTCGCTTTTTCGTTTTTTTCTTTGATTTTTCAAATTTTTGATTTTTCGATTTCCAGATTTTAAAATTGTTTAATACCTATTTTAATTGTTTTATTTTTCTTATTTCTGATTAATCGATATTTCGGATTGTCCATTTTTGAAATTAAAAAATTTTTGAATTTCGATTTTTTCAGTTTAAACATGTTATGAGGACATGTCATTTGCCAAAATCAGTCTTATCTTAGCAAGTACTAACCCCACCCACCCACCCGCCTTCTCATTCTAAGGACTAATTTTACTTCTGTTCAGGATAAGATCATTCATTTCATTCAAATCAGCTGAAATCAATCACTGAAAAGGAGACAGGGTGGGTGGGCGGGGCTAATTATTTTCTTCTGTCGAGTGGGAGTGGCAATTAATAATAGAATCTAGGATGTGAACAAAGTAAAAAAAGCGTAAATCTTTAAAATAGGTGTATTTCAATTGGCGATTTTCGAAAAACTGTAGCAATTTGAAAGAAATGAAAACCAAAATGACTTCTGGATATCGAAATGTACAAGAGAATGTCTTCAACTAATTTTCGGAAATAGTTGAAATATGGTGCAAAATGTCAAAAGTGCCAAAATCAGTCTTATCTTATCAATATTAGCCCCGCCCACCCACCCCTCTTCTCATTCTCACGACTAATTTTATTTCTGTTCAGTAGAAGATCATTCATTTCATTCAGATCAGATGAAATGAATCACTGAAAAGGAGACAGGGTGGGTGGGCGGGGCAAATTATATTAGTACTAGCAATTTCTGTTTTTCGAATTTTTAATTGCTTTCTCGGTTTGTCAATTTCTTGATCTTTCCATTTTGCGACGCCTCAATTTTTAAAATTTTCAATTTTTCGATTTTTCCTTTGGACTATTTCAATTTTCAATTCTTCGACATTTCAGTTTTAGGATTTTTCAATTTGGATTTTTTAAATGTTGCATTATTCGCTTTCTCGTTTTTTTGTTTGATTTTTCAATTTTTCGATTTCTTAAATTTTTCAGTCTTTCAATTTTACAATTTTTTGATTTCCTGATTTTAAAATTGTTTAATA